TGATGAAAAATGCTATTAATTTTCACAGGACCTCTTGAACAATAAGTTCACCAATTACACGTAACTTCCCCTTTTATTTGTATGGTTTTAGATTGTGAATTCCAACCCCTCAAAATAATTAACAATTCCATATAATTGTTAGTCCATAATATTTTTTTAGGTAAATATTTTAGGATAAACTATTAATAAGTTGTAATAATTGAAATTAATTTCTATCAAGTCCTATTGAAAATTAGTCATAATAAAATCGTTGTTAAAAATAATTTTTTGTGACTATTTTTTGTATATATCGTTAAAAATTGACAATTAGTGACTTTTTTATCATGATTTTTATAAATTGTCGCTGAAACTTATAATTAGTAACTTTTTTCTGTGATTAATTTTTCAAACTGTCACTGAAAATTGAAAATTAGTTGAACTTAATTAGTAGTAGTTAAACTTAATTTCCATCCAGATCTATTTAAAATAAGTCCTAGTAAAATTATTGTTAAAAATAATTTTTTTTACGAATTTTTGCATATATCGCTAAAAATTGACAATTAGTGATTTTTTTTATCATGATTTTTATAAATTCTCGCTAAAACTTACAATTAGTAACATTTTTCTGTGATGAATTTTTCAAACTGTTGCTGAAAGTTGAAAATTAGTGAACCTTTTTTTGTGACGATTTTTTTTAAACTATCGCTAAAACTTATAATTAGTGACATTGTTGTGACATTTTTTAAATTGTCGCTGAAAATTAACAATTGGTGACTTTTTTAATGGTGTTTAATAAAAAATGTCATTAATTATTACAGGGCCTATTGGACAATAAGTTCACCTATTAAAACCTACGCGTAAGTCCCTCTTACAAAAAAATACAAAAAAGAAAAGAAAAAGAGTTTAATTCATTTTTGTATTTTGTTATATTCAATAAATTTTTTAAATTTTTTTATACATTTTAAATATACCAAGATTAAGTGGATCTAAAATGTATTAAAAAAAAAATTGATTAAAATATTTTTAAAAAATTATTAACAATACAAAAATACTAATTAAAAACTCGTAAAACTGTTTATGAAAATTCCAAACTAAACAGGGTCAAATTCACAAGTCCAAAATCCTATATACAAACATCATTCCTCACATGTTAGTGCATCATATACGGGAGTTTCTATTTGCACATCCCCATTCCCCTCTTTACACACACTTAATAAAAATTATTTTTATTATAATTTTATTTTTAAGTGAAATTACTATTATGGACATTAAATAAACATATTCAGAAGTTGAATGTCGAATAAATGAAAAAAATTCGGAACTCTACTTCCGAACAAGTTGTTTATTTTCAGAATGCTACTTCCGAACCAATTGTTTATTTTTGAAACTCTACTTCCGAACTAATTATTTATTGAAAAAAATGTGTAAAGAGGGAAATGAGAGTGTGAAAATAGAAGCTCCCATCATACACACATACTATCAGTTTATTATAACACTCTCATATTTCATTTTAACGTAACTACAAATTTCAAAGTGAATCCAACTTCCCTCGAAGCCATTGAAGCTTAAACCCATATCTCAAAACCTTGCTACTGCCTTCCCTCTTCTTTACAAACGTCGCCCCTCCCCTTCTAATCGAAAACCCTCCTAGACCACTCAATATGCCCTCACTTTGACTAAAAACTCCCATCTTTAAACCACTCAATCTCTCAGTGGTTCACTGCCTCATCTGCAGATTAGCATAAGAGTGATAGGAAAGGAAACGTGGAAAGACTAGGTCGGTGTTGATTTTGAAGACAATCACAGCTAGATTGATATTGAAGATGATCAAATCGACAATGAAGATGATCAAATCAACATCAATGTTGAAGTTTCGAATGTTTCTTGGTCTGAGGTTGGAGATGGGCTTTTGATTCTAACGATATTAAAATTTTAAATACGGTCAATCAATTAATGGCATATAGAACCTACGGTAGATATGATATTTTGATCATTCTATAGTATCCTATTGCCTATCATGTATATAGATGTATGTTTTAGCTTTAATTAATGGTATTGTTGTTGAGGTTTCTGTCCAAATATATAACATAAGGTGTAAAGTGTGAAAATACTTCAAGGGAGTTTTAAACTTTAAGGGGATAAAGTGTAAATGACCTATAGTTGAGGGGTTTACTATAATTTCCCCTAATAATAATGATAATGTAAATTACACTTTTCATCTTGTTGTTTTATTTATTTTACTCTAATTCTTATTGTTTTAATTTGGATAATTCGGCTGTTGCACTTTAAGTTCAATTATTTGGCCCTTTTGTCTAAATTTTCGTTAATTTTTTTATATGTGTACATCTCACGGACTAACAAGTATATTAAAATTATTAATTTTAACCTTTAACTTGAATAGAATGACTAAATTGAACTAAAATTAAAGTGTAGAGACCAAATTATTCAATTTAAAATAATAGAGATCAAAGTGAAATTTAAATCAAAATATAGAAATTAAGAGTTTGTTTGATTAGTAGGATTATAGTATAGTATTGGGATTGTTAGTTTACATGGACTCATAATCTCAAGTCTGATTGCAAATTTTATTAACTGGATTGGATTACATGTACGATAGGCATTCACTTTGATAAAATTGGCAAAATTTTAACATTGATATGGGTTGAGGCTCATAATTTCAAGTATGAGAAAAAAGCCAAAATAATACATAATAAATGGTTATCTCATTAATTTAATTGGATAACTAATCTTACACTAATTCATGAGATTATTAATCATTTCACTATTAATCCTATTAATCGAATAAGGACTAAAAGTATAATTTATCCACACAAAAAATATTGAGTAAATCACACTTTATCCTTTTGTGTTTGGTTATTTTTTCACTTTGAACCTTAAAGTTTTTTTTCCTCACTTTTGCCCTTAAATTTTTTTCCCCGCTTTAGCTCTTCTTGTTTCAATATTTTTTGTCTAAAATTAGACAAAAAATGACACATTAACAATCACATGACATAAAAATATTATATTATATATAACTCACACATCTGACATAACTCCAAAGCCTAATATAATAACATATTTTTAATGTCATGAAGCAGTTAACATAGTATCTTTTGTCCAATTTTGAATAAAAGTTAATTTTAGGAGTAAATTGAGAAAAATTTAAAACGCGAAAGATCAAAATGAAAAAAAAAATTTCAAAGACCAGAGTAAAAAATAGCCAAAGATAAAAAAAAAAGGGTAAAAATTAGGGTGAAACACTAATAAATTTCAAAATGTGATTTTGTGAATTGTTTAACCTTTTTTTTTTTTTTTTTAACCCAAAGGTTCCATTAAAGTGAAATTAATACAGAAAGATAGTCATTTACACGTTTTTTTGGTTTAATTTTTTAGGGATAAAAGTGAGTTTTTCTAAATGTGAAATTACACATTTGGGTAATTTGTAGTATAAACGTTTTGAATTTTTTTTTTCCTGAAACAAATCCCACATTACGGACAAGAACGAACATTCTAATAACATAACACTCCAATGTAACTTACAAAAAACTTTTTAGTGTAGTTTTCCCAAATGTGACAATGTAACACTAAAAAAAAAACTTCTTAGTATATTTTTTCCAAACGTAACACTCCAATCAATGAATCCCAAACATAACATTCCAATATAACACAAAAAAATAAATAAAAGTAACTTAGTATACTTTTTCAAAACGTATACTTACAGTTTGGAAATACACATTGCCAAAAATTTACTAATAAATTTTTATACTCTTTTTGGAATGGTTTGAACAATTCCATATTTTTTTTTGTAAGTGTTATATTGGAGTGTTACATTTAGGAAAAATATACTAATGAGTTTTTTGTGTGTTACATTGTAGTGTTAAAGTAAGGAGTTTTTTTTTTTAATGTTATGTTGAAGTATTACGTTTGGAAAAAATACGCTAAGGAATTTTTTTTAGAATGTTATATTAGAGTGTTACGTTTGAGTGTTTCATTTGAGTATTACAATTTGAAATTATACATTTGTCCAAAGCTTACTAAGGAGTTTTTATACTCCTTTTGAAATGTTTGAAAAATCTCACATTCTTTTTGAATATTTGAAAAATATATTTCAAGTCATTTTTGTATTTATTTTGAAATGAGAGAAGAGTTTCACATTTTAAGTCATTTCAAATCGAAAAGATTCTCATATAAAAATTCATCTAAAATTTGATTCTCATAGGTTGTGTATTTTACCTTTCTAGCATAAAAGAAAAGAAAAAAAAAGAAGAAAAAAAAGAAATATAATAGAAATAGGGATATAACTGTAAATCTAATTTTTAAATAATATATTAAATTTACTTTTCCAAAATCAATGGGACTAATTGGTCTATAAAAAAATTATTAGGACTAAATGAATCATCATTTCTCACTATAGGATTTATAAGTAAAATTTTCAACTTTTTAAGTAGGTTTAGATTAGGTGTATTTAAAAAATTATAAAAATTACATAAAAAATTTATTAAAAACAAAATAATACAAAAATAAAATAAAATAAAAAACTCAAAATTTTGAAATGTGAGTTAAACCAAACAATATTAACAGCATTAATTGCATTTTTGATTAATATACATTGAGGGGTTAAGTGTTAAGTTTTAAACGTAAATGATTTGTAGTTAGAGGGGGTTTAATGTAATTTTTTCTTTTTTTTATTATTATTTAAAAATAAAAATAGATTTACGTGTAGGTAATAAGTAGATTTATTATTCAATAATCTTAGGATAATTAATGATATTTTTCATTAAATATCATTAAAAAAGTTATTAATTGTTAATTTTTAACAACAGTTTAAAAATTTTATCAAAAAAATGTTACTAATTATAAATTTTAGCTACAATTTAAAAAATTTGTCATAAAAAAATTTTAATCACCAATTTTTAACGATATATATAAAAAAAATTTGTCATAAAAAATTATTTTTGAAGGATAATTTTATTATTTAATAGAAATTAAATCCAAAAATAAAATGAATCCACTCAGTAATCCAAATCGAAACATGTTCGTCCCGTAAACTTGATAAACACTGTCCTCCTGGGGCGCGCCAAAAGCATGAGTAGAACGACCCTCTCAAAACCCTCTTCCCTCCGTATCGGCTACTCTCTCCGTACACATGAGAGACACCATTGGAGGTACAATCTCTCTCTCTCTCTCTCTCTCCATGTATTTATGCTCACATCTACAGCTTCTATGTATATGTACAAACCCTAGGATCAATATGTTTATTTATTTATTTATGATAATAACATTTAAATCTGTGACTGAAGGTAGGTTTGTCTATGGGAACTCACAGCAATTAGAGTCGAAACTCTTAAAAAAATGGCTCATTTGCGTGGTTCTGGTAATATGATGATCAAACCTAAGAATGGAACTAACGATAGTGTCTGGTCGGATGAGCCCGATTGCATTCCGTTGAAAAAACGCAGGAAAATGCTACTCGCCATTAAGCTTATTTCGAATTTTGCTGACTTTGAATCCGAAATTGAACTGAATCGTGCATCGATGTGAGTTTCGATTCTTCATTCATTCATGTTTCCCTAATTTTTTTAATGCTGTTTTGGTTGGTGGATTTGAGAAAGGGTTTAGAAAGAAAAAGGAAAAAGATTGGTGAAATGTGAATATAATATACATATATTTCCCCTAATTTCACATACGTTTTCTTTTTTTTTTCTTTCCAAATCCTTCAACCAAATACATAATAAGGTATTAGATTGTGGGCTTAGTGCTAGAACTTGTGTGTGTGTGTGTATGTGTATGTTTTTTTGTTTCTTGATTATTTGCAGATCTCCAGTTGATGATGTACATAAGGAAGAACAACATTATGATTCACAGGTAACTTAGCCCCAAAACTGTGATATGCAATTTCATGTGTGTGTTCTTATACAAAAATTGTTGCGGTTTTGTTATTCTGTGGTTGCCCTTGTGCCTTTGGGTCGTACTGGACTGGAGTTTTTGATTTGTTTGTCATTTCATCTCCTTTCTACTATTTGGTTTAAAATTATTTTTGTTGGCCTTTTGTTATCTTTACTCACTTCTCCTTTTACTGTTCAGACTATATGATAATGTTGTGGTCTCTTGCTATCTAGGAAGAACGGACATGGACACGGAAAAACGTAAAATATGGGATACGGGTATCACGAGGATATGTTTACACAATAAAAGTATTTTTATAATCTTTGGAAATGTAGCGTGCATAAACATAAAACCAAATGCAAGAATACATTTATTAACATCTGCTACTAAATTCCTTAATATCAAAAATATAATTTTATGTTCATCAAAGATTGTATCAAAGAGTATTCAATTAACAACTAGGCATACTTACAGAGAATCAACAACCAACAATAACAGGGGCTTTGATTAACAATTCAAGGAAATTTAAAGAACAATAAAGATAACAAAATTTAGTAGTGATAACATAACTTTCACAATATCCACAAAAAATAAAATAAAATAACAATAGAAACAAATTAAAAAGTAAAAATAGTGAACAATTTTTTTTTTCCCTTCTTCAAAATTAACAAAATTGAGTAGCCCTTATAGCAAGGCTAACACACTAGAAATTGGTCTAGCATAAGGTAATAAATCGAAGACAAATTAGGCCTGACAAAATATGAAGAGATATAGAAATAGAGGAAGAGAGAGGGATAGAGGGAGAGAGCACTGACCTTGAAAAAAAAATTGGATACTTATTTGGAATATCCCTCTTGTATCCGTATTGGATGCATTTCTGTATCCGATACATATTTGATACTCGTATGTGGCTTTTTTGGATTTTCTGTGTTTCATTGCTTGCTATTCTCATCTTTTAGTTTTTCTTTGTTATTTGCTATTGCAACTTTGCATAATAATCGATTTGTTCTTGCATTTGTTTCTAGGGGCACTGCAGTGTTCCCTTAATATTGACCCCATTTGATGGGATTTAAGGCTTGGTTTAGTTTGGTTTGGTTTATGGATTGTAGTCTTTAGGAATATGTCTTCGTATATGTTCCATTTTTAATACTTGAGAGTGAAAAAACTGGAGTTATAAAGAGATTAGTTATCAAAGAGAATGCTTTTAATTCAAAGTGATTATTCTAACGACGGTTCCTGTTATTCTTGTTGGTATTGTAGTTATAATCATTTCTCTACAATCTTCCCCACCCCACACGCACACACTTTAATATTTGTGTTGATGTTTGTTTTATGGGTTGTAAGCATAGAAGATATTGTATACTTTTAATAAAGGTGAGGATGAAATTAGAATATGGAATTATTAAGAGATTAATTGTTGATGTGGGCTCTATATGTTCAACATGATCACATTGTTCCTGCAATTTCTCTTGTTATTGTAGGAATCATCATACTTCTATTTCCCTCCTCCCCTAGGGTGCGTGCGGGGTTGATGCTAGTTGTTGTGTCAGCAGTGGTGGACCTAGGATTTTGATTGGGAGGGGGGAGGGTGGAGTGGGTGGGGGTTGTCAAATGTTAAGACAAATTTTTGGGTAAGATTGGTTTGGGACACAAAACTTAGTTTGGTTTTATTTTTGTAATAAAATAAAATATAGATATTTTAAAACTATTTCAAATTCCAATATCACACATTTCACTACAATAAAATATTGTAACATTCATAACTCAAGTAATTAAAAAAATATCAATAAACTACACAATAAAAATGAAATGCTTTCGTGGATTTATTTGTGAAGCATATAAGAAGTCAATCTATGTCCTGTTTAGTTAATTAATGTTATGTCGAGTTTATTGGAAGAAGAATAGGAGGTATATAGGAGGCACACATATATAATTTTAGAGGGAGAAATTGAAAACATTTTGAAAACATATATATATATATATATATTTTATAATTGAGGAGGGGCATGTGCCTCTCTAAAGAAACTCTGTATTATTGAATCATTGAAAAGATACAGTGATGAAACTAATCTATATATACATACAATAGAGTCACTAGCCTAACTATGGTTTATACTAACTCAACATCTATCAACTTCTTAACTATAGTAGACCATCGATATATCTAACTCAACCGTATCAGTTATTCTGTTTCTCTGTGAGCTGTTCTCTTGATGATGAGCTGGATTGAGTTACTTGTATTGGTCGTATTGGTGACTTATCATTCCCCCTCAAGCTAGCAGGTGGTGGAAGAACCAATAGCTTGGACTGAAGCAATTGAAAGCAAGCTACCGACAAAGGCTTGGTTAGAATGTCGGCAAGCTGATCAAAAGAAGCCACATGTTTGACAGACAAGAGTTTAGATGCCACTCTCTCTCGAACATAATGGTAGTTGACCTCGTGTTTAGAGCAAGCATGAAACACAGGATTGCTAGTCATGGCTATAGTAGAAAGATTGTCACACCATAGAGTAGGTGTGGATAGAGAAATATGAAGATCTTTGAGAAGTATTCCCAACCAACTAAGCACTGCATCTGTTTGAGCTAAAGCACGATATTCAACTTCAGTTGAAGATCTAGAAACAGTGGGTTGTTTCTTGGTGGACTGAGAAATTAAGTTGGGACCAAGAAACACACAATAGCCAGTAGTAGAGCGACGATCAACAATGTTACCAGCCCAGTCGCAGTCAGAATAAGCATTGAGAACAAGTGGACCAGGTGAAAATTGGAGACCAAAAGCAAGATTGTCTTTGACATAATGGAGCAGTTGTTTGACAGCATTAAAATGATGAATAAGAGGGGATTGCATATGTTGGCAAGCAGAGTTCACAGCAAAAGCTAAGTGTGGGCGTGTAATGGTTAAATACTGGAGGGCTCCCACAAGACTACGATAAAGGGGTGGTTGGGCAAAAGGAAGATCATCATCAGAGCTGGAAGAAACAAAGAATTTGGTAGCCATAGGAGAAGCATAGGCCTTGCAATTGAGCATTCCTACCTTAGCCAAAATATCAGTGGCATACTTAGCTTGACTAAGAAAGAATCCATTAGGAGAAGAGTGCACAGATATGCCAAGAAAGTAATTGATAAATCCCAACTCTTTCATCGAAAACACAGTGTGCATATAAGTGATTAAAGATGAATTGTAAGAGGAGTCACTGCCAGTGATAAGGTCATCATCAACATATATAACCAAAATGGTAATGGAAATAGGAGTTTTATGAGCAAACAAGGATGAGTCACAATGACTAGAAATAAAGCCTTGAGAAAGGAGATGGAAAAAGTGAAAATCCAAGCTCTTGGAGCTTGTTTAAGACCATACAAGGCCTTGTGAAGTGTACACGCCATATGAGGTTGAGCTGAATCAATAAACCCTTGAGGTTTGAGACATGTAAACCTCCTCTTCCAACACTCCATGTAAGAAAGCATTACTTATGTCAAGCTGTTTGATAGCCCAATTAAAGGGAAGAGCAACACATAACAAAATGAAAATAGTAGGTTGTTTGGCCACAGGGTTGAATGTGTCTTGGAAATCCACACCCTCTTCTTGAAGATAGCACCTTGCTTTGTATCTAGCAATGGATGCATCTGAATTAGTCTTTAATCTGTACACCCATCTACACCCAATGGCTTGTTTGTTGGGAGTTAAGGGAACTAGGGACCAAGTGGATTGCTTCTGAAGACCTTGATATTCCTCAAGTATAGCTTTGGACCAGGCTTGAGATTGAGAGGCTTCTTTAAAGGATGTAGGTTCAGTAACAGAGGAAGCAACAAAAGCAGAAGAAAGAGGAAGATGAGACTTAGACCCAGTAACCATATGGTGTGTATTTTGAGAATTCTGAGGTGGAAATGGTAAATCAATAGTAAGTGCAGAAATAGGAATAGAAGAAGATGGATGAGCAGATGAGAGAGCAACTGATATAGGATCTGAGGCTGTGGCAGGGGCTACAGCTTGGGTTGGAGTAGGGCCAGACAGAGGAACTGGACAATGACCAGTGATAGGAAAACAGCATGGTCTGCAGCAGAGTCAGTCATAGGTGGAATACGTATAGGTGCTGCAGGTGGAACAGGTATAGGTGCGGTAGTGGGAGCAGACATAGGGACTGCTGCAGCTGGGACTGTAGGAGAAGCAGGCTTGGGTCTTGTCGACTGAGTAGGTGGAGTAGACCAAAAAAAGGTGTGTAATTGAGTAAGACAGGGAGATGAAGAAGTCAACAAATGAGAAGAGGAAAAAGGAAAACTATGCTCATCAAAAACAACATGGCGAGATGTGTAAACTTTGTTTGTGACAGGGTCCAAGCATCTATATCCCTTAATGGCTGGATGGTAACCAATAAAAATGCAAGGGATAGACCTAGGTTGAAGTTTGTGAGAGGTGTAAGGTTTTAACCAAGGGTAGCACCTACAACCAGAAGTCCTGAGAAAAGAGTAATCAGGTGGTTTATGATAGAGTACTTCAAAAGGGGTGAGAAATTGAAGTTTAGCAGAAGGAAGTCTATTTATAAGAACAACTGCAGTAGCCAATGCATCAAACCACAAAAGCAAGGGTAAGGAGGAATGATGCATAAGGGCAATGGTGGTTTCAATTCAATGAGATGTCTATGCTTCCTTTCTGCGACCCCATTTTGAGCTGGAGTATGAGGACATGTGAGCTGATGCAAAATGCCTTTAGAGGAAAGGAAAGACGGAAATTCCTTAGCTAATTATTCACAACCATTATCACTCCTTAAAATTTAAAGAGAAGTAGTACATTGTGTTTCAACCATAGCCTTGAATTCAAGAAATTTTGAAAATACTTCACTCTTATAATGAAGAGGATATAACCGTGTAAACTTGCTAAAATCATCAATGAACGCAACATAGTATTTAAATCCTGTCATAGAAGCAGAAAAGGGACCCCATACATCTGAGTGTATTAAAGCAAAAGACTTATTAACAATGGAATTAGACCAGGCAAATGGTAATCTATGTGTCTCAGGGACACAACAATGAGAACATAAACCAGTGGTAGTGTGTGAGAAAGATGAAAGTTTAGCAGCAATGTGTTGAAGTTTCTTGAATGATGGATGGCCTAACTTGAAATGCCAATTAGTTGCTGAAGTAGACTTATCAGGAACAGAAGTAGTAGTGCTATGATAACAAGTAGCAGGATGTGTAACAGATGTAGGAAGAGGAAGCTGATAAAGGCCATTAGAATGGCAACCTTTATGCAGAACCCTGTTGGTAGCCTTGTCCAGAATGGTAAAAGTGTTAGCATCAAAAGTGATGGAGCAATTGTTATCAGAAGTGAGCTGATGAACTGAAAGCAAATTAGAAGAAACGGAAGGTACATGGAGTATTTCGTTAAGAAGAAGAGGAGTTGGAAGAATGCCTTTACCAGTATTGTGGATAGGAAGTGAAGTACCATCACCAATAGTGACTTGATCTGGACCATGATAGGGCTCATGCATAGAGATATTAGCTAGATCATTTGTAATGTGATCCGAGGCTGCTGAATCAATGTACCAGTTGGCTGGTGGTGAAGACTGTGATGTAGAGGCAACGTAGGCCTTGGGAGCAGATCTAGGTTGAGACTGAAAAGGATTATCCATTCTATACCAACAAGGCAGAGTGATTAATTTTGCCACAAATTTTACAGATAACAGAAGGTGAGGAAGAACTAGAGCCATGTTGTGATGAATTCTGAGATTCATGAAATCTTCCTTTTCTTCGATAGCCTCTATAAAATCAACCTCCATTTCTGTTATGCCTCTATAGCCTCTGCCACTACCAGAAGTATTATTACCAGAATTGCTTCCGAAGATCTAGAACTGGAAGAATGAGATCTGCTACCACTAGTAACTGCATATGCAAACGGAATTTCACAAGCATGATTATGCTTAATAGCATTTTCGATTTGAATTTCTACAGAACAAAGTAAAGAGTACAAGGACTCCATTGAAATTGGATCAGATCTTGCTCGAATTGTGGTCTTTAATGCACTGTATTCATTAGGAAGACCATTGAGTATTAATAGAGCTAGATCTTCATCATTCACAGGAGAAGCAGCCAAGGCCAACTGATCTGAGATTGCTTTGAATTGAGACAAATATTCCTCCATAGTTGATCCTTTTTTAGTCAAACAACCAAGGTTGTTCTTTAATTGATGAATATGTGATCGAGATAACGAAGTAAATCTCTTTTCAAGAACAGTCCATACCTCACAACTGTTTGTGCAATGGAAAACAGAGGTAAAAATCGTTGGTGATTTGCGGTGATGTAACTTAGAAGATGTGCATCAGTGGTTAACCATTGTGCATATTCTGGATTCAGAATTTCTTTGTTGCTTGAATCGACAACAGTTGGAGAAGGACATTGCTTCGTTCCATCAACATAACAGGGATGCTTTGTTGCTCTCAATATGTTTAGCAAATGATTCTTCCAAATGATGTAATTGGATGAATCCAGTTTGACAGTAACAAACGAACTCAGATTTGAAATGAGAAGAGAAAGATTTTTAAGAAATGAGAAGAGAGATTTGGTGGAAGAGACTGTGATTTAGCCATTGATGAAGATTGTTGAGATTTTGCCATTGATGAAGCTTGTTGAATCTTCGCAAAGGACCACAGCTCGTTTGAGCTTCAAAGATCTGATACCATAAAGAAACTTTGTATTATTGAATCATTGAAAAGATACAGTGATGAAACTAATCTATATATACATACAATAGAGTCACTAGCCTAACTATGGTTTATACTAACTCAACATCTAACAACTTCTTAACTATAGTAGACTACCAATCTAACTAACTTAACCCTATCAGTTATTCTGTTTCTCTGTGAGCTGTTCTCTTGATGATGAGGAGGAGGACTGAGTTACTTGTATTGGTGGTATTGGTGACTTATCACTCTCCTGGTCCCTTATGCCACTGTGTGTAAGCATTAGTCTTCATGCTTGAGACCCTCCAACATTTTTCTGCTTCTTTATTTGCTGACCCGGCTTCTCATTTGTTAATGTTTGTCTTTATAGTTTTAGTTGAATTAACTCTTTTACTAGCATAAAGTGTCATTTCAGTATTGGCATTGTTCATCTGTGGGGATGTTGGTCTTTAACTTGTTTGTTCTAGTTCCTGATACTAAACGCTACGTGCGTGTAATGCAGGGTTCCAATCCTGTTTGCTTTGCTCGGGAAGAGAGGTTGTCACTAGAACAAAGTCATGCTGGTAAATTTTGGAGAAATTATTTTGAAGTTTGATGCTGTACATTTCTTTGCACTATGGTTCAGTTGATCAATGATTCCAACATGCCAATATGAACAATATGCAGGTATGCCTTTTGAATACAGTTGCCAAGGGACTGAAGTGAAGGAGTACATTAACTCCTATGGGACGCAAGTTAATAAAGTTAATACTTATGCTGTTTTGGTGGAGAAAGTTGTTGCCAGTGCAAGCAGTTTACCCGAATCTTCAATGCCTTTAAAGTATCCTGTCAAACTGGAGGTTGATTATGCAGATAACAACTTGACAAGTTCATTGATAAATGGTGTAGAGGGCTCTTTGGGTACTTATGTACAAGCAGTTAAGATGAAAACTGAGATTTTTGATGACTTTGTAGATGATCTTGATCACATTGTACTGAAAGAGCGGCGAAGGTTGCTGCTATCAAGGTGCTCTTTTGTGCTTTGTGATTTGTTGTTCTTTTTAAATTAGGGGCCCTTGGGTTAAAAAGTGCATGTGTGCATATTGAATCTATTGATTGTGTTAAGTGCTATAGCAGATGCTTTCAGTTCAGGTTTGGAGAGCAAGTAGTTAACTGACATCTTTAATTTTTCCTTCAAGGTGTTCTTGATTCCCTATTGTCTCTTATTTTGGAGTGGAGGAACTTGTGATTTCTGATAACTCTGTTTTATTTTGCAGGAAGCCTTTGAAACTGACAAAACCAGTTCTGGAGGTAATTCGTCCTTTATTTTATATGGTAAAGATGAATATCTATTATTCATATTGGATAATAGAACTTAAAAGTTATTCACTAGGCGTAGAAGCAATTGAATCCATTACTTTAGCCGAATTGGATGATGGCTTGCTAAGATCTTGAATAACTGAAACTAATGTTTCCCAAAGTTTGTCTAATTTTTAACTACTATGGTCCAATCCAATAGTCTAAAAATTCACGTAAGAGAATTAGATACAAGATTTACTTAGTATAAAGTAATTATTGAATTTTGTTTATATTATGCACATATATTACTATATAATATAATGGTCATGTTTGGTTTGTATTTATGAAACAATTTTGAAAAATAATTTTATGGAAAGAGTTTACAAAAATTGAGAATTTGTTTGGTTGTATGTTTTGAAAATAATTTTGAAATTTTAGAGTTTGAGATGATTTGATTTTTTTTTTTTTTGTAGTTGAATAGATGGGTGTCAGAGAAAAGTGATTGATTGATGTATAGGATGTAAGAGAATGAGAGAGGAGAGAAAAAAAGTGATTGATTGACGTGTAGTAGAGAGAAAAATGATTTTGATTTTGATTGATGTGTAGTAGAGAGAAAAATGATTTTAATTTTGATTTTTCAAAAATTTTCAACCAAACAAATTTTTAAAATTTTTCTCAAAAATTTCTCTCAGGAGACAAACCAAACAAGGCCAATACATTCTTAGGTAATATTATATCAACATATATTTATTTGTGGCGTGTTTGAGCTGTGTCCATGTCCTACATTTTTGGAATTTTCCGTGTTGACGTGTTGTGTTGTATCCGTGTTCCGTGTCTATGCTTCATAGACTCGAGGGACCAAAGTTGAATTCAAAACAAATTACAGGTTGTAGTTTATTTTGGATTTCACTTTGGTCTTTCTAGTCTTGCACGTGATTTTCTTTGTTCAAAATGTTAACAATACATGATGGAGGGACCACATTCCAACAAAATTGAAAGTGTAGGGACCAAATTGTTCAAATTGAAACTACGAGGTAGGGTTGTTCACGGGTTAAGTCAATTTGGGTTCATAGTTAACCCGTCGAACCGACCTCGTTGGGTGGGAAGAAATGGCATCCGATTTCAACTGAGTATTGTTCAAAATCGCAAAGTATCGGGTCACTATTTTCACGGTTGGATTCGGTCGGTGCGCAGTAGAGAGGACAAACAGACATGAGAGAGAGAGAGAGAGAGAGAGAGAGGGAGGATGATGGAAGGTAGGCAGATCTGAGAGGGAGAGTGAGGGGAAGATCTGATGGGGGCAAGTGATTAAAGAAAATACTAGGAAAAAGGGGGTTCGAGGCGTGGTAAAGCGACCATGTAGCAACAGCGGTAGCAATGTCAGGGCAGCATCCTTGTATTCAACAAATATAGATACCAAACCAAATTAAACCAAACTAATGGGTTCGGTTGTATGAATCTTTCTTCTCCACTCGATTCTATCCAAGGCCATTTTGTTAGTCAAATTAAGGAACAAATGAAAAAGACAATGAGAGAGAGAGAGAGAGAGAGAGAGAGAATCTGTATCTCATAAAAGAGTGGAAATGGGTGAAGATAAATGAACGAAATTAGAAAGAGACAGTAAGGAGAGAGACAGATAAAAATAAAAATAAAATGAGGAGACTTTAACCAGCTAGCAGGCTAGCTTTCTGACCAAGGAGAAGTCATAAGTTCTATAGAAAAAAACAAAGAAAAAAAAAAAACAAAGTAAAGAGATAGCTATTGATCAATAGTAGAGAGAGAGTGATAGAATGTAATTAATGAAAAAAAAAACAAAGTAAAGAGATAGCTATTGATCAATAGTAGAGAGAGAGTGATAGAATGTAATTAATGTGATGGAAAGATGCAAGTCAGGTACAGTAACAAAGAGAGAATGCGTCAGTGTAATTAATAAGTAGAGAGAGTGTTGGTGAACAAAATCCAAGACTGACTAGGGAAATATGAAAAGTCTAACAACACGTAACATATATATTTATATATTATTATATCGGTCGAGTCAGTTTTTTTCGGTTTTGTTTCAATGAAATCCATTGCTGACTGCCAATCCACAAAATTTCAAGAATATGAACTGCAGCTGACCGGAACACCATGCAAAACTATCTGTTCAAGGTCGGATTGGGTCGGCCTGGACGGGTTCTTGAACAGCCCACTACGAGGATCACAGTGAAATTTGCTCAAACTAGAGGTACCAGTGGTGTAATTTACCTTAAATAAATATTGTCCCTTCTACTCCGCCAACTTCAAGTGCCTATGGAACTTCTCAACTACATTCCAATAATGTAAATGTGAAATTTGGAAAAGTAGAATTAGTTCAAACAGGTGTGTATAAAACTTCGGATTATTTAGACACACTACAAGTTATGAAATCAGAAGTGATGAAAATTTACATGTCAACATGGGAGAGTACACTCAGAATTAGGGGTATTCTTTGAGCTCGTTTGGCATCAAGTTATATGGCTAAAAAAGCCAAAAAGCCACAAAATGCCAAAATGTCATGTCATATACATCAATCAATCAATCACTTTTTTCCTTACAACTATCTACTAAACTAAGAAAACTCTTCCGAACGCAACTTTTTTTAACTCATAAAAAAGCTGAAAAGCCAAACAGCCAAGTTCCCAAATGGGGCCTTTGTTTTGATCATGCATGATTCACATGTTAGATTCTTGGGGCATCTTTCTTGTTTTTCCTATTCGTTGATTTTTGTTACTTCTAGATGATTACCTCCTTTTGATGCCAAGTTTGTAGACAAGGTCCACCACAACATGGGCCTAGAAGCCTAAATTTGGCAAGATAACAAGTCCATAGTTGAGAAACAAGAGTAGCACAAAAGTTGCTTGAGACATTTGGAAGCTACTTTACATATAAATGGTGAAATCAAATTGTTCTCTTGTTTCAAGTGTTTGTACGTGTACAGATATTATTAATGAATACAAGTGCTATTGTAAAGAAAAGAAAACAGCACTCATATTGTTTATTAATTACATTTGTTAGCAGTGAGGCTAGATTAGGGTGTTAAACATAGTTCATTGGGCATGGGGTTGACATCTTCTCTATTGTGTTCTGTTCATCTCATCAGCGCAATGTTTAACCATGGAAAGGTGGACATTTCTTTCTGGTTGGCCTTAGCTCAGAAGGCACAGTAGAGGAATGTCCCTCTTGGTTGATGGTTCGAATCCAGTAGGTTGAATTTTGTGATTTTAGCAGAAAATAAAAGCCTTTTTTTTAAGTGGGATTAAAAAATTATTGAGGTTTCCTGATTAATGTTGTTGATTTAATGCCTTCATGAACTTAATGATTTGTGGAGGAAATATGGCAAGTCATTTCTTTTATGATTTTATCTATTTATGCATTTTGTGATGGTTGGGATGTAATTGATCATTTTTTGTTTGGTAAACTAGTTGATTGCAAGTTCAGTTACAATCAACTATGGTGCTTTGCTGGCTATCAGCCTGTATAGCTAAATTTGCTGAATAGGGGAGGCACTTGGGCATCTGTGGCTCCTTGTAGTCTCACCATTTTCCTTTTGCTTATTGGTCAAGACATCACTAGATTCCTGAATAATTATTCAACCGTAACTGGTGAACTGCACAAGAGTGCACAATAGATGTGCTAAACTTTGGTTAATTCATTATTCTTACTCAAAATGGGGTAGTGATTGCAGAATAAGTGCTCTGATGGTTCTTTTTCAATACTTGTTTTTCTCAACCATGGTATTTTTAGGAAATGTTGTTCCTGCACTTGATGACTAAAAGATGCTATTCACTTTCAGTGATGATTCTGTGTTTTTGGATGTGTTGTGAAATGGCATTTAACATAATTTTTACTGGAGCTTGAGAAATTGTTTGACCGTTAAGATGTGTGAGATACTGAGAAAACCGTTTTTGTTTTTTATATGAATCTTATATTTTCTTCGCTTCTTTGTGGATATTATCTAGGGTTGGGAATCATGCTGTGCCGTGCCGTGTTATATCGGGTTCGTGTTCAAAACAATCCAACAAGAACACGGACTATTTAATTAAACATGTCAATTATCTTGACACTGACCTGACCTAACCTACTTACAATTGTGTTAACCTTAACACGACACACTTAATATGATTAGCAAAAGTTCATGTTTTACCTAACCAAACCTAGCCTTAAGTCTCATTAAATGGGGTCAGCTGCATGAATCCTTCTTTTCCACTCGACTCTATCCAAGGCCATTTCGTTAGTCAAATTAAGGAGATTCATATCTCTATTTACTACACTAGTCCACGTTAATCTAGGTCTACTACCCTTTCCCCTAACACTGTTGTTACCCAAAAAGCAACCCGAGAGAGGGGGGAGGGTTGAATTAGGTTTCTATAAATTTCAATTAATATTACCCCAATAAAAATTACGACTAGGATAGCACAAGATTAACAGATAAACGATAGAGCTAGACAAAAAATATTATTAGTTGATGCAATGAAGACTTTAACAGTGAAATAGCTAAGCAAAAATGCAGTGGTTGATTTTGTGCCTTAACAAATTTTGATGTAGATAAATAAGTAACTCACACTCAATGGAAGATGGTGATAGATAGCTATATAAGGTAATTGAAGTGGTCACACAAAAATAACAAGTGTTATAATGACTATATCAGTGAGGTATAGTTAGCACAGAGATTTTGTTCAATGAAGTGAAGTTGTTCACAAAAATAACAGATAGGTATATCAGTTGAAGAGATTTAGGTGTTTAGCTCAAGAACAACAAATACTCAAACAGAGATAGCAATGAGAAAAATTAGCACAAAGAATATGAAAAATATAGCAAGTGCAGTGAGGAAAATAAAGAGATAAGGGAGAGGGAGACAAACAGATTTATAGTGGTTCGGTTTCAACCAAGCCTACATCCACTCCTCAAGCTTCACTTGAGATTTTTCACTATGTTCTAGCTGCACAGGGGTGTTAGCAACCTCTTCATAAATGGAGCAATCCTCCACAGATTTTACACAAACTTTCCAAGTCCAAACCCTTGCTCTCTTTAGCTGATTTTCAATCACACTCAAAGAGTCACGAAACCTGAGTGTACTACACTCTTACAAGACTGAAATGAAGTTGATTTGCTTTCAAAGAAAGCTACAAATAAAATCTCTCAAAGATAAATATACAAAGGCGAAGCTCAGTGTTTTCTGTATAACCTCTACGGAAAGATATGCTCAAGGCTGAAGCTCACTGTATTTTCTGAGGGAAAGATGTAAACCAAAATGAAGAACATTTCTTAGAGAATAGATGAAAGATGAGAGTGATTAAAGATGAAAAATATGTTCTTGTTTGTGTTGTTTTATTTTTTTAATTAGCAAGAGCACTTCTAAAGAGAAATTTATCAGTTGTTGTATGTTGCGTGTGTTGAGAAGATTGAGTGAGATTTTGGTTAAATCTGCTCTATTCAATCTTACATTTCCCAGAATTAGATGTTGAATGATGAGTTGAAAGATGGGCTTGATTGTTGACAAGTATTTTGAAAAAGAGTCGTTGCAGCACAGAGTGGTGGTCCACCCGGATGTCCCAGATGAAGTTGTGTTCTTGGTGGTCATGTCATTCACTGGGACGCCTGTTCGGATGTCCTTTCGGATGTCAGGTCAAGTCCCAGTCGTCAAGGATGACTGCTGCAGTTGTCGAGTATACTGCTGGTTTGACAGCCTGTGCGAAGCAGAACTGCACAGAATCGAAACTAGGCCAAACTACCTTGACCGGTCGTCCTGTCTCACGTCCGACCCCCTTTGGGCTGGACTGCTCTGGGCTGCTGCTGCGGTGGTTCTTTTCTGCTACGGTTTGGGCTTAATTTCACACATGTTTATGCTTCATTTAGAACTCAAGAATAACATCATGATTGAATAAATTGACGTGGAATAAATTATAAAATTTCAATCTATTTTTCTTTTCCAAATAAATCAAAACAAGAAATAAAACAAGACAAAAACAATCATCAAAATATAAAAGGTCTAACAACTATCATCTACTGTCACTGTATCGCATCTCTTCACTACTGCCTCTATTGGTCTTTGTTGTATATGACCAAATTATCTCAATCTATTCTCTCCCAACTAATCTTCTATCGGTACTACTCGTACTTATTCTCGAATATACTTATTTCTAACTCTGTCTTTTTTAGTCTTGCTACACATCCACCTTAGCATCCTCATCTTAGCAACACTAATTTTATATACATGTTTCTTAGTTGCCTAACATTCCGTCCCATATAATATCGCTGGGTATAATAGCCGTTTTATAGAATTTCCTTTTTAGTCTAATGGGTACTTGTTTATCATATAGTACTTTGGACGTACTCCTCCACTTAAGCCACCTGCCTTAATTTTGTGGTCCACATCCGCTCCAATTTTCCTAGTCGTTGTAAAAATCGATCGTAAGTAATGAAAATGTTCACTCTTAGGTAGTTTTTGGTTCTCAATCTTTACTTCTCCTTTGTTTCTATTGTGACTGTTATTAAAATTACACTTCATATACTCTGTCTTAATTCTGCTTATCTTAAATCCTTTAGATTCAAGTGCTTTTCTCTAAATCTCCAACTTAGTGTTAACTCATTCTCTAGTCTCATCCACTAACACGATATTGTCTACAAAGAGCATACACCATGGCATATCATCCTAAATATTGCATGTCAACTCATCCATAATTAAAGCCAAAAGATAAGGACTTAAGGTTGATCCTTGGTATAACCTTACAGAAATTGAAAATTCACTCGTTTCTCTAGCAAGCGATCTAATAGTGGTCATCACACCTTCATACATATCTCTAATCACATCAATGTAACCTTTTGTCATCCCTTTTTCTTCTCTAGCACTCACTAGATTATATCCTGATGCACTCTATTATATTTCTCAAGATCGATAAAAATCATATGAATGTCTCTTTTCTTTTTTCTATACTTTTCTATTACTCTTCTCAAAAGATAGATCGCTTCCATTGTTGACTTACCAGGCATAAACCTAAATTGATTCTCTGACACTTCTGTTATATCTTGCAGTCAACGTTCCATTACTCTCTCCCACACTTGCATTGTGTGACACATTAACTTGATTCCTCTATAGTTGTTACAATTTTAGTTGCTACAATTTTGGACATCTTCTTTATTTTTATATATTGGCACTAAAATATTCTTTTTTCACCCCTTTGGCATTTTCCTAGTCAACAAAATCTTGCTTAATAACCTAGTCAACCAAACAACCCCCTTCTTACCTAAACATTTCCACGCTTCAATAGGTATATCATCAGGTCCTAAAGCCTTATTTAATTTCATCTTCTAAAGTGCAAACTCCATTTCAAAGTCCCTAATCTTACGATAGAACCTATAGTCTTGGTTTTCCTTATTACCCCCTACTTCCTCCCTTTTGACCTACCTTCATGTTTCTCATTTAACTTTTCAAAATAGTTCTTCCACCTCTCTTTAATCTCTTCATCCTTCACCAGCACCTTAGAGTCCTTACCCTTGATGCACTGAACCTGATTAAAATCTCTTTTTTTTTCCTCTCTTATCTTAGCAAGTTTGTATATTCTCTTTTCTCCCTCTTTACTATCTAGTCTAATGTACAGGTCATCATAGGCTTTTAACTTAGTCTCCCTCACTACTTTTTTGACCTCCTTATTGGCCATTCTGTAGCGCTTAAGGTTTTCCTCAGTTTTATCATTCTGTCACTTTTTAAAGCTTTCTTTTTTCGTCTTTATTACCGCTTGGATCTCCTCCCTCCCTCCACCACTAAATTTTTCTAAAGTTGGGTCATTTTCCTTTCGACTCTCCAAAGTAACATTGTTGTTGACATTCACATTCACTTCTGCCACAAAAAACATTGCTGGCACACATTCAGAAACTCTCATGTCTACTAATCTTGACTTCTGCCCATTTATCATTAATTTAGGGTTACACTTCATTAGGTATATATATTATATGAAAATTTAAGTTTTAATCTAACGAATGAGAATGAATTACTCAATATCTTATGGTTACTAAATTCAGGTTGTATCCGGGTTATATGCCAGTCAATAGTGGGTTTGTGTCAACGTATCGACACGAATTTTTACACGGGTCAAACGTGCCCATTTTGAGTTTTGCGTGTTCAACCCAAACCCGACCCATTTAATATTCGTGTCTTCGGGTCACGCCATATTTGGGTTTGAGTAAAAAATGCTTAACCCTGACCCTCTAATTATATGTATGATTCGAGTCATGTTAACGGGTTACGTGCCAAATTCTCACCCCTAATATTATCATAAGGTTTATTTACTCAAAGACCCCCTAAACTCTTGAGAAGTGTTACTTTAACCCCCTAAATTATAAAAGCGTACAAATAGACCCCCCTAAACTATAAAAACGTATCAATAGGATCCCCTAAATGAAGGGGTGAAAGTGAAATACGTCAATAGTTTAGAGGGTCTATTTGCATGCTTTTATAGTTTAGGGGGCAAAGTGATACATCTCAATAGTTTAGGGGGTTCAGTCGTATGCTTTTATAGTTAAAGGGTCAAAGTGATATTTTTCAATAATTGTGGAGGTCTCCATGTAAATTACCCTTATCATAATATAGTTGAATTCAATTTTTTCTGTATGAATCTTCTACTACTACTACTATTGTTATAATTATAAGTAACGTTGTTATTATTAATTTTTTTTTTGTTTTTTATTTTTATTTTTATCATTTTAATGTGTTAGTTGAAGCTGTAACTCTTTCTGATTAATTTTGCCTTACCTCATGTTGTGCAGGGTGATTGTTCATTGTCCTCTAAGCCAGTTGTGGAAACCACCATTCAACAGAGTGTTGGCATGAGGAAGGGAGACAATCATTCTTGTGCTGCAGAATCCTCAGTTACTGGAGATCATACTCATGATGTTTCAGAAAGAAATGCTTCTGATTTTTGCAAGACTTTGGAATCAGGTTCTTTGAATGGTATTATTGCAGGATCATCTTGTACAGTACCTCATTGTTCAATATTGATGGAGTCATGCCAAGGGATTGAATCTGGTAAATCAGGAATGTTTATTGGAATTCAAGGAAGTGACAGGATATGCTCATCTAAGAAGGCTTCTACAATGTATGAATTATGTGGTGGACAGAATTATTTGTCTGGTAACCCTCATTGCATGCGTACTTCAGTTATATCGTCAACCTTTGTAAATATCAAGGCTGAACCCTTGGATTACAGTGATGTACATAGCCTGGATAAGAGTGCTGTATGTAACTTTCCCTCTAATAGCATGATACCAGTCAAGAGTGAACTAGAAATCCCTGAAGAAATTTATGGAGATAAATTAGACCATATGTTACTACGAGATCGGATTAAGTTGCTGGCGTCAAGAGATCCTCCTAATTTGGACAATTCAAAAAATTTTAAATGCTTGAGGAAGATTGTGCCTTCTGTCCGAGACTGTAGTCCTATTGTATCTGAATCTTCTAAACCTTTGAGAATAAGCCGTCCACGGAAGAGGAGAAAAACTGCCACGTAATATTTGTTTCTTTAAACACTTTTATTTGTCTGCTCTTATCTTTTATAATATTTAGTGTACGTATCTTTGTAGAAATATCTTGGTATTTCTTTTTCTAGCTTTGTGATTTGTTTCTCTTGTTTTTAATATAAATTGCAGTGATTCGGTTGAAACAGCACTGGAAGAAGATGCTCCTGGACTTCTGCAGGTAATATCAAGTCAGTTTTGTGTTTTCTTTAGGAATTGGGCAGCTGTATTTCTTTAGGATTGGGGTCTTACAGATGTCAGTTGGCAGGTGTTAATTGGCAAAGGGGTGTCAGTCAACGAAATTAAGCTTTATGGGGAGATGGAGAGTGATGATGCCCTTGATGAATCATTCAGTGAAGATGGATTTTCAGAGCTTGAAGCTGTAATATCAAAGGTTGATGACGATTCTGTGATTATGATATCTTTTTGATCTGCAACAAAGAAATTTGATTAATAATAGGAAAAGAATTCATACAAAAGAAAGTGTAGAACAAGAAATCCAAAAAAAATTACAACAAAACAAAATTACAAGGGAAAAAAAAGAAAAAAAGATTACATTTCACAAACCACCCTTCAATCCTAATTAATAAAAAAGAACAAGAAACTAAAGCCCCAAAGGAATATTTATGACATTTTATGCCATAGTCCATCTAGATCTTCAATTTTGTCTTATAAATATTATTGCATTCCTTTCCTACCAAATCTCTCAAAATATAGCAAAATGGACACAACCCCAAAGAACTTGGGTGTTGCAGTTGGTGCCAAATCTCTTATACTTAATTGAAGGCATCTATAGACAACAAAGAGGAGCCATGCCTCCTAATACATATACACCATATGTAACAGTTTGTGCCACAATAATAAAGCCCGCATGGCAATGCAAAAAAAAAGAAGAAGAAAAGAGGTCAATACTTTCTTCTTCCCTTCTACACAAGCCATGCCATTGTGAAAGTAAAAGTAATTATTAGGTCTCATTCTCTGAAACAAATTATTGGTATTAATCTTAATATGAGCTGAGGACCATAAAAATACTTTTACTTTAGGCTTACTTTGTTTAGGATGAAAGTGATAGAAAGTGAAGGAAAGAGAAAAATAAACTTTTTCTGAGTTTGTTTAGCATGAAAGTGGTAGAAATTTCAAGAAAGTCAATTTTTTTGTAGGACTCATACTAACATTTTAACTAAGTGATGTAGGACGAGGATTACTTTCCTACAAGTAGTGAGCCCAGGTTAAGTATACTGGCAGCAACAACAATAGGCTTATAGGGCTGGATTTGGTGAGAGTTTGTTGCTGCAAAAGTAATTAAAAAATAGGAGTTCAAGGGTTTCTAAAAGGGTAGGGTTTTGGGAATGAAAACAAAAGTTTTTAGGGGCTGTTGGGTGCCTGTTCTAAGAATTGTGAATAGTGACGTGAATAGTAACCTTGTTGGGGAGAGAGAGAGAGAGAGGTGCTTTACCCTCTCAAGGGATAGGCCAATCACCCAAACACAATCTCAAATTTTCATAATATTAACTCTTCTCAATCATTGAGATTACACATATTTATAGGCTAAAGACTCCTAATTCTATAATGACTATAACTAAAATTTAGAAATTAAAAATATCTAGTAAGTACTAATATTTTAGACCAACTATGACTTCCAATTTCACTTCAATCATAATAGGAAACTTTAATGACTTCTAATTATAATTCAATATCAAAATAGGAAATTTGAACTTTTGACCACTAAGATTATTTTAGACATAATAAAACCCATATATAATAACCCTATCGGTACTACTCGTACTTATTCTCGAATATACTTATTTCTAACTCAGTCTTTTTTAGTCTTGCTACACATCCACCTTAGCATCCTCATCTCAGCAACACTAATTTTATATACATGTTTCTTAGTTGCTTAACATTCCGTCCCATATAATATCGCTGGTATAATAGGCGTTTTATATAATTTCCTTTTTAGTCTAATGGGTACTTGTTTATCACATAGTACTTTGGACGTACTCCTCCACTTAAGCCACCAGCCTTAATTTTGTGGACCACATCCGCTCCAATTTCCCTAGTCGTTGTAATAATCGATCGTAAGCAATGAAAATGTTCACTCTTAGGTAGTTTTTGGTTCTCAATCTTTACTTCTCCTTTGTTTCTATTGTGACTGTTATTAAAATTACACTTCATATACTCTGTCTTAATTCTGCTTATCTTAAATCCTTTAGATTCAAGTGCTTTTCTCTAAATCTCCAACTTAGTGTTAACTCATTCTCTAGTCTCATCCACTAACACTATATTATCTACAAAGAGCATACACCATGGCATATCATCCTGAATATTGCGTGTCAACTCATCCATAATTAAAGCCAAAAGATAAGGACTTAAGGTTGATCCTTGGTGTAACCTTACAGAAATTAAAAATTCGCTCGTTTCTCTAGCAAGCGATCTAATAGTGGTCATCACACCTTCATACATATCCCTAATCACATCAATGTAACCTTTTGTCACCCCTTTCTTCTCTAGCACTCACTAGATTATATCCTGATGCACTCTATTATATTTCTCAAGATCGATAAAAATCATATGAATGTCTCTTTTCTTTTTTCTATACTTTTCTATTACTCTTCTCAAAAGATAGATCGCTTCCATTGTTGACTTACCAGGCATAAACCTAAATTGATTCTCTGACACTTCTGTTATATCTTGCAGTCAACGTTCCATTACTCTCTCCCACACTTGCATTGTGTGACACATTAACTTGATTCCTCTATAGTTGTTACAATTTTAGTTGCTACAATTTTGGACATCTTCTTTATTTTTATATATTGGCACTAAAATATTCTTTTTTCACCCCTCTGGCATTTTCCTAGCCAACAAAATTTTGCTAAATAACCTAGTCAACCAAACAACCTCCTTCTTACCTAAATATTTCCACGCTTCAATAGGTATATCATCAGGTCCTAAAGTCTTATTTAATTTCATCTTCTAAAGTGCAAACTCTATTTCAAAGTCCCTAATCCTACGATAGAACCTATAGTCTTGGTTTTTCTTATTACCCCCTACTTCCTCCCTTTTGACCTACCTTCATGTTTCTCATTTAACTTTTCAAAATAGTTCTTCCACCTCTCTTTAATCTCTTCATCCTTCACCAGCACCTTAGAGTCCTTACCCTTGATGCACTGAACCTGATTAAAATCTCTTTTTTTTTCCTCTCTTATCTTAGCAAGTTTGTATATTCTCTTTTCTCCCTCTTTACTATCTAGTCTAATGTACAGGTCATCATAGGCTTTTAACTTAGTCTCCCTCACTACTTTTTTGACCTCCTTATTGGCCATTCTGTAGCGCTTAAGGTTTTCCTCAGTTTTATCATTCTGTCACTTTTTAAAGCTTTCTTTTTTCGTCTTTATTACCGCTTGGATCTCCTCCCTCCCTCCACCACTAAATTTTTCTAAAGTTGGGTCATTTTCCTTTCGACTCTCCAAAGTAACATTATTGTTGACATTCACATTCACTTCTGCCACAAAAAACATTGCTGGCACACATTCAGAAACTCTCATGTCTACTAATCTTGACTTCTGCCCATTTATCATTAATTTAGGGTTACACTTCATTAGGTATATATATTATATGAAAATTTAAGTTTTAATCTAACGAATGAGAATGAATTACTCAATATCTTATGGTTACTAAATTCAGGTTGTATCCGGGTTATATGCCAGTCAATAGTGGGTTTGTGTCAACGTGTCGACACGAATTTTTACACGGGTCAAACGTGCCCATTTTGAGTTTTGCGTGTTCAACCCAAACCCGACCCATTTAATATTCGTGTCTTCAGGTCATGTCATATTTGGGTTTGAGTAAAAAATGCTTAACCCTAACCCTCTAATTATATGTATGATTCAAGTTATATTAACGGGTTACGTGCCAAATTCTCACCCCTAATATTATCATAAGGTTTATTTACTCAAAGACCCCCTAAACTCTTGAGAAGTATTACTTTGACCCCCTAAATTATAAAAGTGTACAAATAGACCCCCTAAACTATAAAAACGTATCAATAGGATCCCCTAAATGAAGGGGTGAAAGTGAAATACGTCAATAGTTTAGAGGGTCTATTTGTATGCTTTTATAGTTTAGGGGGCAAAGTGATACATTTCAATAGTTTAGGGGGTTCAGTCGTATGCTTTTATAGTTAAAGGGTCAAAGTGATATTTTTCAATAATTGTAGAGGTCTCCATGTAAATTACCCTTATCATAATATAGTTGAATTCAATTTTTTTTGTATGAATCTTCTACTACTACTACTACTATTGTTATAATTATAAGTAATGTTATTATTATTAATTTTTTTTTTTTTGTTTTTTATTTTTATTTTTATCATTTTAATGTGTTAGTTGAAGCTGTAACTCTTTCTGATTAATTTTGCCTTACCTCATGTTGTGCAGGGTGATTGTTCATTGTCCTCTAAGCCAGTTGTGGAAACCACCATTCAACAGAGTGTTGGCATGAGGAAGGGAGACAATCATTCTTGTGCTGCAGAATCCTCAGTTACTGGAGATCATACTCATGATGTTTCAGAAAGAAATGCTTCTGATTTTTGCAAGACTTTGGAATCAGGTTCTTTGAATCGTATTATTGCAGGATCATCTTGTACAGTACCTCATTGTTCAACATTGATGGAGTCATGCCAAGGGATTGAATCTGGTAAATCAGGAATGTTTATTGGAATTCAAGGAAGTGACAGGATATGCTCATCTAAGAAGGCTTCTACAATGCATGAATTATGTGGTGGACAGAATTATGTGTCTGGTAACCCTCATTGCATGCGTACTTCAGTTATATCGTCAACCTTTGTAAATATCAAGGCTGAACCCTTGGATTACAGTGATGTACATAGCCTGGATAAGAGTGCTGTATGTAACTTTCCCTCTAATAGCATGATACCAGTCAAGAGTGAACTAGAAATCCCTGAAGAAATTTATGGAGATAAATTAGACCATATGTTACTACGAGATCGGATTAAGTTGCTGGCGTCAAGAGATCCTCCTAATTTGGACAATTCAAAAAATTTTAAATGCTTGAGGAAGATTGTGCCTTCTGTCCGAGACTGTAGTCCTATTGTATCTGAATCTTCTAAACCTTTGAGAATAAGCCGTCCACGGAAGAGGAGAAAAACTGCCACGTAATATTTGTTTCTTTAAACACTTTTATTTGTCTGCTCTTATCTTTTATAATATTTAGTGTACGTATCTTTGTAGAAATATCTTGGTATTTCTTTTTCTAGCTTTGTGATTTGTTTCTCTTGTTTTTAATATAAATTGCAGTGATTCGGTTGAAACAGCACTGGAAGAAGATGCTCCTGGACTTCTGCAGGTAATATCAAGTCAGTTTTGTGTTTTCTTTAGG